CTATTTACATAAGTTACGCTTTACGGTGATTGGTCAGATATTTACCAAATATAGTCATGAGTCTCTTGCTCTTTATCTATATGTAACTTAATATACCAATTACTAATAACATTACAACTAATAATTGTTTCTACTTTAATAACATAAATTACGTAATGCATAAGAGCACAACTTAACAAATTGTGCCATGGCACTTCAATTTCACCTGATTTGATTCTTACGAGTCACAAACAGCACTTAAGCATAATATTTATTATTAAACATAAAACGTACTACGTGATCAGGTGTATTTTAACTACACCGTTCGATGCCACGAAAAGTGGGCTCGTCACATCTTTATGAGAGACTGATGAAAACAATAATTATTTAATTAATAAAAATTAAATAAAAAATTTCCCTGTGGCATGAAAAACAGATGCGGACGCTAATGACATAGTGACCGTCATCTGACATGTAGTCTTCATCGTGGTTCTGCGGATCTTCATGGTCATTTAAAGTAGCTAAACAAACAAAATTAGTAAAAATATTAACTACGACCTCAACTTTAGATTCAGCGATGGACAGTCAAAAATTTCCTGTCGACTAATTTTTTATCTAGACAAGAAAGACGAAATCTATCATTCTACAGGGTTCGTAGTCGCCAAAACCAAAACAATTCAAAGACTTTCAAAGATTTTTTCTGCCTATTTTCAAAGACTTTTCAAAGACCTTTGAGGGCAATCAGCTGTCGAAAAATTGCGAGTGTAAGCACCATTTTTACCCAGTAGTTAGTCCCGTCAAATCATATCCTAAAATGCGCCTTTTCGTCGATATTTGCGAAAATCTTGCTTCAATCAATCTATTTTATTTTGATTAATCTTTCGTAAACATTGTAAGAGTTTATTCTTTTGAATTTTGTATCTAATGTATTCCATAGATTAACTCCTTTGTTAGAAAGAGTTATGTATGACATAATTGGTTCTTTTACAACACTTGTGTAGTTTTGTTGCATTTCTTGTATGTTGTAATTATGAATTTCATTGTTTGTTACAAAATAATTTTCAAATGCATCTGGTAAATTTTCAAGATAATAGTATCGATACATAAACAAAGCAGTTAGGTAATCATTTATTTTGAAAATATCTAAAATGCGTAATTCTTTGAAGATAGGTTCTGTATGTTCCAAGTAAGATTTAAAAGTTATCAAACGCAAATTAATTTTTTTTCTAATATTCAATATTTTTTAAATTCGGGTTTTCCAGGTATTACCCCAAATCAAGTTGCCATAAATAAGATATGGATACACTAATGTGTAATAAATTACCTTCAGTGAATTTCTATTTATCAAGTGTCTTATTTTTTCTATTATTCCCGAAAGAAATTCTTGTGATTTCAGTTTTTATACCTCAGTTATATGGTAATTGTTATACCAAGAAGGCAAGAAAGGTTGTGCATTTAACATGTTCTATGCTTCCATTATTTACGCTAACTTTTATATATCTTGTTTTAGTTTCTTATTTGTAAATCTGAAGATAATATATTTAATTTTTGTTGCATGCCATATATGGAGGGTCCTGAAGGGGTAAAATGGGAACTGGGATTGATCTAATTTTAGACTGGGAAAATGGGATTTGGGTTGGTGGGACTGGGATTTGGCCACTGGGAATGGGAAATGAATGACGTCTTCAAAAATGGGAATGCGATTGAGGTAATGCGAGTCGATTCCCAATTTTTCTAAAATTTAAGTGTTTTAAAATACAATTTTGATCCGTTTTCGGTGTCTTTGGTCAATTGGTCATGATTGTTGTGAACGGTTAAATTGTCGCCGCTATTTTTTGTCATAGCGAACAATATGTCAGACATGCGAAAACGAGACGCTTTTTGTTGGTTTCATGAATCGAATCGAAAAACACGCTTATAACGACTTTCAACTTATATTTTATAGTTTATAGTTTAGAAATAAAGTTTATTGTACATTTAACTGCGACGTGCAGTACATGGCGCCCAACGTAAAGCATTTTAACCGAAGAAACAACGTTTAATTTATATTTTGACGACGAAATATGAGCGAGACCATTGAGCGAAAACGTGCAATTCGCTCTGCGAATCGAGGTGTCCTTACGAAGTATATGAAAGAATCGATAGAGCATATGAATGGAGGAGACATAGATCAATCTAAACTAGATCGTTTAACAACGCTGGACAAGCTCCTCAACGAAAAATTAGCTTTAGTAAAAAAGCTTGACGACGAAATTCTAGAAGAATGCGACATAAAAGACATTGAAAAAGATATCGAAGAATTTGAGGAAATAACGTCGAGAGTTTACGAAATCAAGAATAAAATCGAGAAATTATGTGCAAAAGAACACCAAGTACAATCGATACCTATGGCACATCAAAACACGACGATTAGTGAGCCTTTGAACAGTCAGCCGTCGTTGGCGGAAATTTCCACCGAATCTGTTAGTGGACACTTAAACCAAGAATCATATCAAGTATCTATGGCCCAATTTGTACCAAAAACCGGATTGCCAAAATTATCCTTGTTGAAATTCAATGGTGAAATAACTAAGTTTCGCACTTTCTGGGATAATTTTCAAAGTGCTGTTGATAACAATCCAAACCTGACTCCTATTGACAAATTCAATTATTTATATTCACTGTTAGAAGGTCCTGGTTTGCAAGCAATACAAGGACTGACCATCACGGAAGAAAACTACAAATCAGCTGTCGAAATACTCCAGAATCGATTTGGCAAAACCCAACAAGTTATAGCAGCCCATATGGACAAGTTGTTGAAATTGCCCTCTTGCAGTGGAGGCACAGCATCAAGTCTGAGATTAATCTACGATAAGGTCAGTGTAAATGTTAGGGGGCTAGAAGCTATTGGAGTCAAGGCAGAACAGTATGGAAGTTTGCTTATCCCTGTAATAATGTCAAAGTTGCCATCTGATGTTAGAATCCAAATCGCCCGAAATACTACGAAAGATGTGTGGGATATTCGAGAGCTCCTAGATGTCATTCAGAAGGAAGTGGAAGCACGAGAAGTCTGTGAGAATATCAAAACACACTCTGACAATCAGAACAAAAAACCTAATGCCCCAGCCCCTCGAGAAATTTCTCCTGAGGAAAATTTTCCGTCGTATCATACCGAAATTTATGTTTGTGACCTAATTTTTAAAAAAAATTTGTAAATTTCCACACAAAAACGGCACATATTGTTTTAATTTAGTATTTACAGCGACATTAGCTTCTACAAAAGGGGCACTTTTCCTCACAAAAAAGGGCACTTTTCAACACAAAAAGGGCACTTTTTATCACAAAAAAGGGCACTTTTAGTCCTTTAAAAAAATTTGGGGGGCACGTGCCCCCCGTGCCCCCCGCTTCCTACGCCCCTGCCAGTCGGACCAACAGTGGCGACATCAACAGTAAACCAGCATTCAACAACCCATGGGAAGAAGGTACTCCTACAGACTGCAACGACGTTTGCCTTTAATCATGACGAAAGCGAACTTGTTCCTGTTAGAATATTACTCGATAGCGGTAGCCAGCGCTCGTATGTTACCGAACAATTAAAGGAGAAACTTGGCTTGGACAGTTTGCGAACTGAGACCCTAAACCTTAATACATTTGGAGACGATCGAGTAACCAAGCAACGCTGCCAAGAAGTAAAGATAAAGCTTGAAGCACGACCCGAAAACTTTGAAATCTCTGCTCTTACCTTTTCAAAGATATGCTCGCCCTTCAAAGATATCCACATTTACATGGCTTACAGCTTGCAGATTCCAGTCTTACTAAGGATGTTCCAACAAACATTGACATTTTGATTGGGTCTGATCATTATTTCGATGTTGTCACAGATGAAATTCGTCGAGGCCAAAGAGGTCCAGTAGCTATCAACACTATCTTTGGTTGGGTAATCTCTGGTCCAACACAGAATGCAGACAAAGATAATTCATCATCTACCAATCTCATCATTCTGCGAGAAAATTCGGATCCAATGAAGAATAGTTTTGCTTTTGAAGACAAGAATCAAGACTTAACAAACGAACTGCGTAGATTTTGGGACACTGAATCTCTTGGGATCCAGGACGAGAAGATGGGGAATGATAATTTCCTCAACGAGTTAATATACCACAACGATGAGAAACGCTACGAAGTAAACCTGCCATGGAAATCCGAATCTCATCCTGCATCAAATGGATATATGAGGTGTGCGAATCGCCTGAGACAACTCCACAAGCGTCTTAAGAAAGATAAAGATCTGCTCCAAGAGTATGATAAGATTATTCAACAACAAATAACTTCTGGCATTATTGAACCAGTGCCTGAAGAGAATGATACTGATGAAGAAGCTTACTATTTACCACATCACGGTGTCGTTCGGCAAGATAAAGAAACTACCAAGTTGCGTGTGGTTCAGCAAAACCCGATAACAGCAGTGTTTCCATCAACGACTGTCTAGAAAGAGGTCCCAACCTGGTTCCGTACCTGTTCGATGTGATCATCAATTTCAGAGGATACCCAATCGGCATGGTCGCAGACATTGAAAAGGCATTCCACCAAGTAAAGATTGCACCAGAAGACCGACGAGTGGTTAGATTCCTATGGTTTGATGATCCAAGCAAAGAAAGACCCGAAATTCAAAAGTACCAATTCTGTCGATTAGTGTTTGGCCTAGTCTCAAATCCTGCCATTTTAACGTCCGTACTGCAGCATCATCTCACTGTGAACGATTCTTACACCGTCTTGTGTTGGATTCGTAATGACAAAACATGGAAGCCTTATGTTCAAAACAGAGTGAAGGAAATCAGGGAACTTTTCGACCGAGAGAAATGGAGATTTTGTCCGGGAGAGATCAATATAGCCGATCTACCCTCAAGAGGTTGTTCTGCAAAGGAACTAGTTAGAAACCATAGTTGGTGGAAAGGTCCCGAGTTTTTGAATCATTCACCCGAGTACTGGCCTCAAGAGCCACAACAAAGCTACATCGATAACGAGGAGAAAGCATTAGCTGAAATCAAGAAGACCTCACCAACCATCGTGTACTCAATGGCGAATCCATCAATCAACAACGATCATGAAAGTTTCGATATCGGCGATATAATAGACATAAATCGATATAGCACTAAATTGAAACTGTTACGAGTAACAGCAACGGTTATAAGATATGTGAAAAGATGGAGAAACCCTCGACACAAATTCGAAAGTGCTGAGTTGACGGCGCAAGAATTACAGGAAGCCGAAATATGATGAATCCAGACCGTTCAAGAACACGAATTTCAACACGAGTTAAATTAACTTAAAGGAGTGTCAAAAATTCCGACACCCGTTGTCTCTCAATTGGGTTTGTTCCGCGACGACGATGGTTTAATACGATGTGACGGAAGGATTGGAAATTCGTCTCAACAAAAAGAATCCAAACAGCCGATTCTCCTACCAGCAACACATTACTTCACAGAGCTACTTATCAAAGAGCAGCACGAAGTTGTACACCACAATGGCATTCGAGACACTCTCAACTCGATTCGTCAGAAATATTGGATCCAACGAGGTAGAGAAGCAGTGAAGCGAATAGTAAGAAGATGTGTCGTGTGCAGAAAGATCGAAGCGAAACCTTTCCCAACACCGAAAGCTCCGCAGCTCCTAGCGTGTCGAGTAAGCGAAGAACCACCCTTCTCTAATACCGGTATAGATTTCGCTGGTCCAAGTTTACGTAAAAAAATCGTCTGGAGCAATTAACAGCAACGACCAAGACAAAATATACATAGCGCTCTTTACCTGTGCATCTACGAGGGCTATGAATTTAGAACTAGTAGAAAACATGTCAGCAGCTACCTTTCTTCAAGCGTTTAGACGTTTTTCAAGTCGTAGAGGACTGCCAACGAAGGTCTTGACGGATAATGCAAAAACATTTAAGTCGGCATCAAAAGAGGTGAGGATGATTGGAGAATCGAAAGAAGTAAATCGCTATTTTGTCAATAGAAGAATAACATGGGAGTTTATTACTGAGAAAGCTCCATGGCACGGTGGATTTGCACCCATGGTTTCGGTCTTCCAAAAATCCGATAGATCAACCGGTGCTGTATATTTTACGTGTAGGACAGTGGTGATTGTGTTGCTTAATTCTCCTGTTGTCAAACCAAATATGACCCATCCCTATGGGGATCTTCTGGCGACTAGGTGGTCGGCTTGCTTTGTTTGACCGGTATGCATGTGTGCATGATCAATCCCGATGAGCAGATCGACATGTCCTTTGCCTCGTCTAACTACTTGGTCTTTTGGTAGGCCAAGTTTCTCAATGATAGTTCCGGTTTGAACACTTTTAACTTCCTCGCTAATACATGGAATACCAATTGCTCTCACAGAATGTTTCTTTGGGTCACCGATTCCGCTTACTGGTACTTTGTAAATTTTCGTATGAATTGATTCCTCTTCTCCACCTATTTTGATTATGTTCACTGAGATGTCTCTCCCTTTCAGTCCGAGACTGTCTGCTGTTTTGCTCCGTATTAAACTTATCTGCGCTCCTGAATCCAGAAGGACGTTCCCACGCTTGTACAACCCGTTTGGACCGCAAATGTTGGCAGCAATCACTGGCAACATGAAATCTTTCTGGCTGGTAACAGATGCTAAAGTGACACCCACTGCGCTCGATTTATGTAGCAAAGGATGGTGGCTGAAGGTACACTGGCTTCCGTTCTCAACTTTGTTGCATTGCTTTCGCCGACTGCAATTTGCTTGACGATGATCACGACCTGCTTTCTTTAAGCAGCTGAAACAAACGTGATTCTCTTTCGCCGCTACGAGTCGCTCTTCAACACTCATTGCTGCAAGCTTCTGACACTGGTCTGGCCAATGACTTGAGTTGTTGCACAGCCAACACTTGTTTCTGCTCTTATTCCCGCCTTCGATTTCGCCGTGCAAGTGATTGATTTTGCGTCGATTTGTTAAACCACTTCTAACTGGAGCTGTCGCACGCATGCGCGACTTCATCTCGCTCGTCATCCACGTCATCAAAGCATTCAGCGTTGCTGGTTTTCGCTCTCTTTCTAAATCTCTTGACCAAACTTTTCGATCATCTGGGCACATCTTTTGTTCAATTATTGATAGCATGTGGCTGTTGTCCATGTCGCTCGGAACGCCAACCTCCTTTAGCGTGTTATAGCTACGTCTTACCAAATGACGCACATCTTCGCCTTCTTCTAACGGTTTAAATTTTGCTATGTCCTGAGTGATCGTGTCAGAAACAAACCGCGGGTCCCCGTATATTGAATCTAAATATTCCCATGCCGCGTCATAGTCGGAACCAATTCCCTTTATTAGCTCAAGCGGCTTTTCTTTCAGACAAGTACGTAGCAATGTTATCGCGTCTCTTTTCAAATATTTTGATTCGATCGCGTGCTTGAAATCTGCGCGAAAAATTGCATATTCCCGCACGTCATCACAAAATTTGGGCAATTTTGGTTTTTCCATTCGGAAACCACATGGGGTTGAATTATAAGCAGGTCCTGCTTCATTACTAATTTCTGGTTGGGACGCGCTTTGGCTTGCGTTTTGTTCAAGATTATTTTGTAGAAACTCAGGTGGGCTGTTGACCGTCATTAATGCTAGGATTTTCCTGGGGCGTCGAAATGTCAATCACATTGTTTTCATTGCTGACACTTGGCTCCGAAATTTCAGGGTTCGTATTACTTGCGCTCGGTGTGTTCTGCATTCCAATCATTCCTGAGGAATTTTGCGGGTTTTCCTCAAGGCTCCTTTTTCTAATTTTCGCAGAAACATTTTCTATATAACACTTTGCATCGATACCAAGTTTTAAAAAGAATGTTTGTCATTCATCTAACCACTGTTCTTCCTGTTCAAACTGTTCATCTTGGTCAATTAAATTTGCATATAGGTCGTGTTTTGAAACCACGTTATCAAAGGCTTGTTTTACTTTAATGAGATAATCGCTTACCTCTTCAGCTGGTCTTTCGTTCTCGCACAGATGATTCAGCGCTTTTCCCAGTCTTGTCAACGCAGCCTTTGCGGATCGACGCTGTATCTTGGCTGCCTTCAACGCCTCGCTTGATTCACTCATAGTATAAATCCAGAATTTCCACCAGTATTTGTTCGCCAGAAATCGAATGTTCTGGATTATCAGGGTAAATAAACTTCCTGGTTAGATCGCGAGACACGGAACCGTATAAATCAATGAATATTGATAGGTTTTTATTCGATCTAGTAAGTAATTATAAGGAATAACAATTGTAAGTATAGAATAACAAATAGTGCCTGATATATACCTGTGCGCTTTCTTCGAGTTATATGCCGCATAATTTCAATAAATGAGACTTACTTCTTTGTCAGGTCTTCGCAATCTAGTCTTACTGATACTGAATATACAAATACACATACACTGTCACATACAAATGCAGGTTAGCTTCAACACAGGTTAGCATATCTCCTTCATTTAACACTATAAGTCTTTGTCTCAATCTATCTGAGTAAATGTGCGTCAAATTACGTGTCAATCAGGTTAATCTCATTAGTCATGCATTACTATAATTAGTTAATAATTATCCCGTAAAATATAATTCAATTCGCCTTAATAAAAAAGATGGCGGCTGTCGATCTACCCACAATGCATTGCAGTCGGAAATGATTTAAAACAACAGTTAAACGTTTTTTAAATAACACAAAAAAGGCAAGACGTCAGTTATTCCTATCTGTTAAAGTTTCATATCATTGTCTGTTTTTCTTGTCACTCTTTTTTGCGGATTTATGCTTGCTGCACGCAAAGGATTGTAGGTAGATCGACATGCCGACATCTTTTTTATTATGGCGAATTACACTGGAAGAAAAAGTGCGTATTCCCACGTATTTCCGTCTCTATATGGGTCGGAATAAAATATATATTCCGACCCGTATTGCGAGTCGGATTATGGGCAGGAATATCACCAATATTCGGTGATATTCCGGGTTTGAATACGGTCATGAATATTGCAGATATTCCTGGGGTATTTACGCCTGGAAATACTCCCAGAATACGGGCTGTATATTTTACCTCCAAATTCATGCCTTAATTAGTATTAATTAAACATAATTCAATGCAAGATCAGTAAACTTAATGTTTTTAACACGTTAAAATATTCTTATTGTTAAAAACAGTGAGTTTACTGATCTTGAATTACGCATAATCTTAAAAACCATCAATCAAAAGGCTGAACTGTGCCTTTTAATGACATCAGGAAAACATTATACGGCTTGTCGTTAAATTCAGCTTATATCGGGTTTTAATTGTTAAATTCAGCTTATATCCGGAAGTTGAAAAGACAGTCAGAAGCCAGTAGAGACAGCTTAGAAATCTACGTTTCGACTATATTTCAGTCATCGTCATAGTTTGCAGCTTAGAAACGTTTGTGTTATGCCGTTACGTCGCCGTGAAGGAATGCAGCGTGCATATGGCTGTTTGCCAGGAGTGGGATAAACAAGATTTCAATTTTCAAAAGCATACACAACAAATTGAGAATTCTTACCTAGAAAAAAATTCTTGCAAAATTCTTATTTTAAGCAATATTTTGCTTAAAATAAGAAAAACGAGAGAAAATATTCTTATCAAGAATTAATTTTACTTACAGTAAAATAAGCAAAATTTTTCTAATCAAGAATAATTGTTTTCTTTAAAGCAAGCAAAAGTTCTTGCTTATATTCTTATATTGCGTCGTAAATGCTTTAATTATTGCCTTGTAATGAAGATACAATAAAACAGCTAGAATTTTGAAGATGAATTAAAATCAGAAACACAGTTTAATTTGCACTGGATTGTTCACATGGTTGAGATCAGTGTCTTCAGTCAATCGCGTTGCCATATATGGACTCCCAGAAGGCTTAGCGGGCACATTTCAAGCGCACCTTTGGAAATTTTTTAACGCTGGTTGTATGGCCAAGTTTTCTTAAAATATTCAAGAAAATAAGAAGAAATACTCCACTTATTGAAGATTCAGACCATAATTTTATATGTAAGTGTTCAACTATGTCAATATTTTGAAGTCTCGTGTGTAAATATGTGCCATAAATAGCTATATTCATGTATATTTTTAACAGCCGTGCCGTTGGCCACCTTGCATCCAACAATATTGGGTTCAACTATATTGTTATTAAAATGCATTAAAACTTTGTGATATTGTTTTATATTCACAGATTATAATTTCAAGCAATAAATACCGTCATAATATTTGATCCAAGCAACGAGCCAAGCAAGTCGAACTGTCGAAATCATGATATATAAAACGACAACAAACTAGAATATTTACTACACTACAGGCTACAAGAAGGTATGAAATGAATATTGTTATAAATGTATCGATGTATTCAGAGGGTATCAATATTGACTCATTTAGCTAATATTGATTTAATCGCCAAAGCAAGTACTATGGCTTTGTATGGGAGAACAATCCTTCCATTGTGTAATCTATATTTGTGCTATTATCAATATAGACTATAGTAAATACTGTCCAGACAAACCCTGATTATACATGTTGCTGAATCCCCTGACTACATAAAAATGAGGACACATGTTTCTCATAGTTATACCTCTGAGAAATTGGAAGCTTAGAGGCCGATTACATGGAGCACTTTCAACCCCGGGGTTGAACTCAGCCCTGTTAACCAGGTTGAATTTTTTTTGCGATTACATGGATGATTTCAACCCCAAGGTTGAAATGCTCTACGTTCTCGGGCATTGATTCCCAGAAGTAAAAAAGCCTTCATTTTGTTTTCTTGTAATAAATAGTCACTACCACACATCTTCGAATAACTCATGAATAATTTCAGCCCTATGTTGAAACGATTACATGACAAAATTATCAACCGGGGGTTGAAATTTCAACCATGCTAGCTGCGTTGAAAATTTTGTCATGTAATTGCGCATTTGATTTTGATAGAGTTTTGTATTGAACCCGGTCAACAGAGTTCAACCCCGGTGTTGAAAATGCTTCATTTAATCGGCCCCTTATAAAACACTAATCCCTGAGGAAATTATAGTATGCCCCTCAAATCCTAATACGGCATGAGTAACTGTTTATGAATCAAGTTGTATGAACATTTATATTGAACCGAGGCAGCCCAGATAGCAGAAATAGGCCTAAAAATA